AAGTGTGTTCATGTTTATGTTGCAGGCACGTTACTACAGCATATCATCGTCACCAAAAACGAATAGTGATTCGGTCGCCATTACAGTAGTTATTACTAAATATATGATCGGCGATCGATTGATCAAAGGAGTGTGCACCAATTATTTGCTTCAAAAAGTGAATAAATTTTCCCGTTTTTATAGGATGTGCATAAATTTTCCCGTTTGCGTATATGCAAATTGCAAAAACACATATTGGGAAGAGGCAGTCTGTGTGTGTGTCTGTCTGTGTGTTCGCACTTTTTTCACCTATTTTCAATTCGAGAACCAGAAAAGCTACAAGGCTAAAGTTTGCGAGTATGTGCCCATACCATGTGCGACCCTCCCGTTTTAATTTTATCCCCCGCGTACGCCTGGGTGCCACGTACGGACGCTTTAAAAAAATGTGCAAATTTTTTGGCGGAAAAGCGATCTTGGGAACCACACAAGCTAAGGGACTGAAACTTTGTAAGGATATTCTCTGTGTGTGCTAGCCAAGGATTTCAAATTCAGCTTCCAGGTGTGCATTATACTCACGTAAGGGAGTATGAAAGTTTTAGCGGAAAAGCTGCTAACTCAGGATCCAGGAAAGCTAGGAAGCTGAAATTTTGGGGGAATGTTCCCTATCCAAGTGCAACTCAAATATTTCAAATTCAGCCCCAAGCTTTGCGTGGTACTCATGTAAGGGAGTATGAAAGTTTCTGCGGAAAATTACTAACTCGGCAACCAGAAAAGCTGGGAAGCTGAAATTTTGGGGTGATGTTCCTTGTCCATGAACAATTTGAAAATTTCAAATTCAACTTCCCAGGCACGTGGAGTACCCACGTACGGGCATGTAAAAGTTTTGGCGGGAAAATTACTAACTCGGGAACCAGAGAAGCTAGAAAGTTAAAGTTTTAAGGGAATGTTCCCTGTCCAAGTACAAATTAAGTATTTCAAATTCAGCCTTGAGGTATGAGTGTTTGTTACTTACGAGCACTTAAAAGTTTTGGCGGAAAAATTTTTCACTGAACAGCTAAGTTACTTAATTCAACCGTTGTTTCTGCGATTTTTCGCGCTACTCTGTTTTACAAAATTTATTCTGAGTGCGTTAAAGTCAAAGTCAAATCGAACCTGTCTCTGATATTCAGTGGAGCCGCATGTTAGCAAATGGTGTTCGTGTTCGATTACTTGGTCTTCGAAGAGGTGTTTTAAACAGACGATAGGTAATAAACAGAAGTATACAGCGCACGACCAACTGCCTGGCACAGCTACGGCGTAATGAGAATATTCCAACAGTACTACTAACTATCGGATTCTCGAGTGAATTTTTGGGGTCGTTTTGGTATTCATCGTGCCATGAATACCCGGAGAGTATGTGCATCAAGATTGTTGTTTTGTTAAAAAACAAGAAATTCACGATATTCTCAGATTTTCATGAGTTTTTGCACAGAAATCTCTTCGTTTTGGGGTAGTTTTGGAGGACTGGAACTGGTCGTGTGGTTAAAAAAATTTTTTTTTCAGAATGAAGGCTCCAAAGTTCCGATCTTTGTCCGGAGGTCAACGATGCGTTTGCCACATCGATTAACCACACCAGTGATAATGGTCGGACCAGGAACGGGGTTCGCCCCATTTCGAGGATTTTTGCAGGAGCGTGCTTGCCAGAAAAAACAAGGTTATTTTTTAAAGTTTTTCACTTTTCCGGTAGCTTCGCAATCTTGCAGCACATTACATTCGGTCTCGGTCTGACAGCCGTGTTGGTGTCCACTTCTTGGTGATCTCACGAAACTGGTTTTGAACAGAGTTTTTAATTGACTTAGTAAAATATGGAAATCAATGGCAGCAGGCGAGCCCGTCCGGTCATACGTTTTTGCAGTATTTCATGCTGTAGTAAGATCGCTTGGAATCACAACAGGTAGAATTTGTGACATACTGGTCCTCGAACTTCTGGAATTCAATTGTGCAACTACGGTATGATACTTGGAAAGGAAACATCCTGTTAAAATTTCAGCTTTCCTAGTTCCCGAGTTAGCGACTTTCTCGCCGTGAACATTCACGGAGCCGTACGTGAGTGTCACGCGTAACAGGGGGCTGAATTTGAAATCTTTGTGTTCTACGTGGATGGGGAATATTCCATGAAAATTTCAGCTTCCCAGCTTCTTTAGTTTCCGAGTTAGCGCTTCTCCTGCCAAAAACCTTCGCGTGGTCGTACGCCAGGCCCAGATGTGCATGAGGGTTGGTACGGCGATCTTGGGGTGGCACTTGGCGGGGGGGGTCCGCTGGTAAAATTTTGGCGGCGGAGCTTGTCTTGTTAGCTGAGTTGAGATATCCGGACAGGTGCACATACACACACACACACACACACACACACACATCGGGGTCGTCACAATATGTATTTTTGCTCGCTGCAGTAGCGTTATAGCGCTGCACAGCAAAAGCGTAGAAAAATACAGCAGAAAGTGATGGAAAGAAGGAGCGGGATTGGAAATTGCAGATTAATTCAAGGCGTAGAATTGTGCTAGCATTTTTCTTATTAACTTTTAAAAGAAAGCAGA